CACACTCTACTTTACAACCATTTTGTGTTGATAATGATTAGCTTCAGTGAGTGGTAGTGAACAGATTTGAAGATACAAGAACGAGGATTGGCCTTAAAAATTGATCTACATCATCATAAAGGAAGATCGGTAACTCGCTTATGAGAAGATGCTGTATTGGAAAACTCAGGCTCTGTTTTCTGTGTAGACGATAACATTTTATAAATCCAGGCCGCGGAGACAGCGCCAAGTGTTGGAGACAGCAAGTAAATCCAGATCCCTTTGTAACATCCCCACACTAGCGCAGGCCCTAAGCTTCTTGCTGGATTCATCGATGCTCCTGTTACCTCTCTGTGAAATGAAAGATCGGATTTTTGCGATTGGTTAGCCAAAGAGTTTCGTTACCATTGAAGACTTAAGCTTACTGAGAGTGTTGAGGGAAAAGGGAAAATTACCCGGCAAATATAACATTCAATGTGACAGTTGCGCCAATGATTAAACCCTCTAGTTCCTCAGTCTGCAAGATTCATACTAATTGTTGAGATTGAAATTTATATCATCTGATCAAGAAATGTTTTTGGTTGTTGATCACTTACTGTTCTCTTGGCGGTTGTGACGGCACAGACGACTAACATGAGGAAGCCGGTGATGATGAACTCCATCACGAATGCTTGAAGATCAGACCCGGAAGGAGATGACCCGAGGAAGACATCATGTTTCTTACTGCACACATCATTGTTCAAATCAAACAGAAGACGCAGAGTCGCAGAGGCCAAGGTTGATCCGATGACTTGAACAGTTATGTAGGCCGGGAGTTGATTCAGAGGGAATCTTTTGCACGATGCTAAGGCAATAGTGACAGCGGGATTGAAATGTGCAGAGATGTGGCCGAGAGTGTAAACAAGAACCATTATCACTAGACCCCAAACCAGTGCAATGCCAATAAGAGTCACTGTATTGTTGTGTTGAGCGTTCACGGCAATAGCGGCACAACCCGCAAATATCAGGTAATAAGTTCCCACAAGTTCTGCTATAAGCTGTCAGATTAATTTGAGTCAACACGAAAGCTAAAAAAGAGTATGGTGAAAAAGAGAAGCCTTGGAGAGTGAATTAAGCAGTTTCTCCTCGAGAGAGTGAAAACAAAAAAAAACTCACCTTTTGTAAGAAGTGGGCAGAGAACAAGGGAGAGAATGATGATTCCTGTTTGTTTGGAGTAAAAGAAGGAAGAGAAGTGTCTGCAACAGAAGAAGCTTTGATGTTGAGTACAACATTTCCATGGTTACTTTTGCTCAATGATATGTCACCCA